AGTTCTAGTTCTTGTTCAGTTCCGGTTCTGTTCTAGTTCGGTTCTACTTCTTATCTGCCAATGGAATTTGTATTATTTACAGAGCACAGTTATGAGCGCTATCGACACTAGAAGAGGATTGTAAAGTAATCACTATAAAGTGTTTTAATAAATTTTCTTTAACAATACCAAAAATAAAATATAATTTAAGTACAAAATATGTATATTAAACGATAATATCAAACAACTGTAAACCTTGTTTTCGCCATTTACAAGGTCTACTTTGCCAATAGCAAAATACCCTCTGTCTACCCACATTAACTACTAACATATTTTATTACTCTAACTCTCTCGCTCACACACTCACACACAGATTCTTTAATTCTCGCCTTTTTGCTGTTCACAGCAATAAAGATTGTCAATGATTTGACAATTATCTGATTTTTATTCACTTCCATGAATCTTATATTCTATCTTTTCTGTTAATCTGTTATTATGAATCAAATGAAATTGCATCCCCCTTAAAGATCGATATTATTGCAACACGGTTAGAGAACGAGAGAGTGTACATGTGTGTGTGAGTCTTACAAAGTGTCCATCGAAAAGTTTTCATTCATCCACAAATCTTTTATCTTAATAACTACAAAACCACCTTAAACATTAAAGTTACAAAATGAAACAAGAGCCTTATGACACAACAAAACCCTCTTCAAAAGATTTAAAGCTTCTTTTTTTTTTCTCTCTCTTATTTAGTTGCTTTTGTTGTGATGGAAAATAAACTTGTTGTTGGCAAAATAAGAAGAAAAAAATGGTAGAAATACCTATCGAAAAATTGGCTATGGAAAATAAAATGATATAAAAAATTTAGAGCTACCAACATCAGTAACAGTATCAGAGTATCAACATCATCAATGTGGTCAGAAAGAGAGATAGATGTGTGTTGAGATGTAATACTACAGTGTGATAAAGAAATTTTCAAACCTATATTTAGTTGTTTGAAGGTAAAAATTTTGCATTTTAGGAAATTTTTCTAAAATTTGTTTCTATGTCTGGACTATAGATTAGTGTATATAGTCGTGACTATAGATCAGGCTGTAGGTCAATCTATAATCTTGACTATAGATCAGGATATATGTTGGTCAGTCTATAAACTTTACTATAGATAAGTCTATACTCTTGACTATAGATCAATCTATAGTATTGTCTGTAGATCAGTCAATATTCTTGACTATTACTTCCAGTGTATAGTTTTGAATAATACTATCAGTGTACAGTTTTGACTAGATCAGTCTATTGCCTTGACTATAGATCAATGTATCAGTCTTAGACTTGGCTATTAAACAGTCTTAGACTTGGCTATTAATCAGTCTATAGACTTGTCTATAGATCAGTGCATGGTCATGCCTAAAGATCAGTCTAAGACTTGACTAAAGACTATAGATCAGTGTATGGCCTAGACTATAAATCAGCCATAGTCTTGACTATAGATCAGTCATAGTTTAAACTATAGATCAGTCTATAGTTTAGACTATAGATAAGTCTATATTCAAGACTATAGTTCAGTTCAGTCTATCTATAGTCTATATCTATAGTTTATGGACTATAGATCAATCTATATTCTTTATCATCACTCTATAGTCTTATATTTTGATCAGTCATTAGTCTTGAGTTCAGTTCCGTATAAAGTCTTGATCAATCTATATTCTTGACTATAGATCAGTCTATGATCTTAACTATAGATCAGTCTATAGTCTTGAAAATCGTTTGCATTATTAACAGCCGCACTGTTCTTTCAAATATGCATACATACATATGCTTACATATGTATGTATTTACAGGATCAATGATAAAAAACTACATAAAAAATATCTTTGCAAGAATTTCCATAGCTTTGGGGAAATTTTTCGTAAGAGGCCAACGTAGTAAGCGAGCAATTTACTATAAATGTGTGTGTTTGTGTGGAACATTGCAATATACACCATAATTCCTCTATCGATCGAAACGACCATCGACAATACAACAAACAACATCTTCGTCATCATCATCTTTGATATTTAGTATATTTTGTTGTTGGCCAACAAACAGCACATTACTGTTTAAAGATTTTGTTAGTAAAGTTTTGTACTACACCAGCAGCAACAAAAATCTATATAAATGTATGTTCAAGCTGATGATGCAGATGAGGATGATGATGATGGTGGTGGTTGTATATGGAACTCATTTGCGTATCAGCGTAGAAATTTACATACTGGCCGGCCGGTCGGTCTGTTGGTTGTATGGGGACGTTTTGGAGTAAATGTATTATTTTTGCTGTAAGTTGCTCATCATAATCACAGTCATAAAATATGTTGTTATTGTGGTTGTTCTTGTTGTTGTTGTTGGTGATGCTTCAGCAAAGTCATACTCTAAGCTTATCAGCATCGCCAACAATAAATGCAACCCAAACAAATGAAACCAAACCACCAGCCCAGTCAGCCAAGCAACCCGATTGGGTCTGTGTGAGAATACAGCCATGCATCATTTATGCTTAAATGTTTAAATGTATGGACATGTGTAAGCAATGCCGGAAAGCCGTTGCCAATGCAGTAAAGACGCCTATTTGTGGCATTTAATGCCTCTGGAGTTTAATACACTAAACAGAAGACGATGATGGTGGTGGTGGTGGTGGCGATGACTATGAAGATGATGGTCATGATGATGGAGAGCAAAACAGTTGAACAAAAAAAATTTATATAAATATGCAACAAAATTTAATAAGCGTGTTATACTATAAACTATATAGAGGAGGGGAATATTTATAACAATATTAAAATAAATTTTACCAAATTATGCTCTATGTCAAATATGTCAAGGAATAAAATAGATTTTGAAATTTCAAAAATTTTCCATAGAAAAAGAGATTTCTGAAAAATTTTATAAACATTTAAAAATTTAGAGCTACTAACATCAGAAATGGCATCATGGTATCATATAATCAAATTATCGGAAAAGATCAGTCTATAATCTTGAATATAGATCAATCTATAATATTGACTATAGATAAGTCTATAGAATTGACTATAGATAAGTCTAGAGTCTTGAATATAGACAAGTCAATTGTCTTGACTATTGTCTTGACTATAGACAAGTCTATTGTCTTGACTATAGACAAGTCTATAGTCTTGACTATAGATCAGTCTATAGTATTGACTATAGATAAGTCTATAGCCTTGACTATAGATAAGTCTATAGTCTTGACTATAGACAAATCTATTGTGTTGACTATAGACAAGTCTTGACTATATATAGTCTTGACTATAGATCAGTCTATAGTCTTGAACAGTCTATAGTTTTGACTATTTATCAGTCTATAGTATTGACTTCATATCAATCTATAGTCTTGACTGTTGATCAGTGCATAGTCTAGAATATAGATCAGTCTATAGACTCGAATATAGATCAGTCTATATTCTTGATTATAGATCAGTCTATAGTCTGATTATAGATCAGTATGTAGTCTTGATTATAGATCATTCTGTAGTCTTGACTACAGATCAGTCTTTTGTCTAGACTATATATCAGTCTTGACCATAGAGTAAATGTCTTGAGTATTGTTCAGTCTATAGTTTTGACTATAGATAGGTCTATAGTCATGACTATAGATCAGCGTATTGCCTTGACTATATCATAGAGTAGTCTATAGACTTGACTATGGATCAGTCTATAGTCTTGACTATAGATCAGTCTATATTCTTGACTATAGATCAGTCTATAGTCTTGACTATAGATCAGTCTATAATCTTGACTATAGATAAGTCAATATTCTTGATTATGGATCAATCTATAGTCTTGAATATAGATCAGTCTATAGTCTTGACTATAGATCAGTCTATAGTCTTGACTATAGATCAGTCTATAATCTTGACTATGGATAAGTCAATATTCTTGATTATAGATAAGTATATATTCTTGATTATAGATCAGTCTATAGTATTGATTATAGATCAGTTTATAGTCTTGACTATAGATCAGTCTATAGTCTTGACTATAGATCAGTCTATAGTCTTGACTATAGATCAGTCTATAGTCTCGACTATAGATCAGTCTATAGTCTTGACTATAGATCAGTCTATAATCTTGACTATAGATCAGTCTATAATATTGACTATTGATAAGTCAATATTCTTGATTATAGATCAGTTTATAGTCTTGACTATAGATCAGTCTATAGTCTCAACTATAGATCAGCCTATATTCTAGATTATAAATCAGTCTATAGTATTGATTTTAGATCAGTCTATAGTCTTGATTATAGATCAATCTATAGTATTGACTATAGATCAGTCTATAGTCTTGACTATAGATCAGTCTATAGTCTTGACTATAGATCAGTCAATAGTATTGACTAGAGATCAGTCTGACTTCTTATCTATTGAATTGTCTTTATTTTAATTTCCAAATTAATATATTTCGATCCCTGAAATTCAGTACAATCCTATGAGCAGGTGGTTTTTTAATTATTTTATTTTAAATTTATTTCAAACTAATTTTTACGATTTTCTTTCATACTTCAGAAATACTCAAAACAGGTGGTTGAAATTAAAATATTATAAATTCAATTTTATTTTGTGATAGTTTTTCCTAAATCAAACAAAATTCGAAAGATTAGAAATTTATTCTAAATTGTTATTTAAAACAAAACGTTAAATATCATGGCGAATATAAAGAGCATAAATTCAATGAGCGATCAACTTTCTAACGAAGAGCCTAAATCAATTACCAAAAGTAAATTGTCCGAATTGAAAACAATTCTCAAACAACTAAGGCAAACTTTTAGAAACCAGCAAAAATGGCTAAAATTTTGTAAACAAAAAATTTTCAGATTCAAAAGAAAATTAAAAATTAATTTAAAAAATCAACGAAAATTAGAGAAGAAAATAACGAAATTGAAAAATAATTTACAAAAAATTAAAAAAACACTTAGAGAAAAAAGACGTAGAAAACGTTTGAAACAAAAAGCTCATTTAAAGCGTTTAAAAGAAATGGCGGCTGAGCGGAAATCTTTACGCAAAAGGTATTTAAGAGAACTTAAGGTGCAAAGAGCGATAAAGTATAGAGCTAAAAAGAAAGCAAAGAAAGAACCTTTGATTATAAAGAAATTAAGAATGAAAATAGAGGAAAAGCAGAAGGAACTGGAGAATTTAGAAGAGCAGGAGATTTTTATGAGAAGACAAATCAAATATTTTAAAGAAAATATGCAGGCTTTAGACTTACGGAGTTTAAAGAAAGAAATAAGAAAAATTAAAAGAAAATGGTTGATTTTGAAGAGATTGCAATCTAGCGAAATTAAGGAAACAAATGGAATTATAAATTATCAAGATAAATATAGAAATAAAATGATGAGATATAGGAAAAGAAAACCAAGAATTAAAACTTTAAAGAGTAATAGAGCGCCCTCTCAGCAAAGTATTAAAGAGTCTAGTTTAGAGCGCACAAAATTAGGACATAAAAAGAGAGAGTTAAAGAGTAAAGATTCTAAGAGAATGGTGTTAAAGAAAAGATCGATTAGCAAAATTAAGAAAATATCTAAAGATTTAAAAAGAACTGAATTGAGTTCAACACCCTCTGAAGTAACTAAAAGTGGCATAGGAGAGACATCAACTGATGATCTTAGAGAAAGAGGAATAAAACAGAAACAATTCAAGAGTAAAAAGCTTAAAGCTTTACAATTAACTAAAACATCTGCGAGCGAAATTGATGTTAAAGTTGAAGATGAGAGAGCAAGTATTTTACAAAACAAATTTGACATACCTAAGGACTACCGAACATCGGAAGTTTCGGAAATCGAAATGTATAAGAAAGCGGAGTTTGGCAAAAGAAAATCTTCTAAAGTTTATAAAAGAAGATCCAAATCAAGCAGCATATTTACAAAACCAGCTAAACAAACTAGTGAAAGTGCAATGGAAAATCTTATGGAGGGATTTAAAGAAATCACACATGCAAGGAAACCTATAGAACCCCAACCAATAGGTGATAAGAAAGAAGAGAGTGAAGATACGAAACGATCTTCAAGAGGTCTGACAAAACGTTCTCTTAAACGTAAGAGCAAACTTAAACGAAGTCACTCTTCATATGGAGATTATAAAACTCCTCCTACAACTACCACTACCACAACAGAAAGTAATGAAAGTGAGGTTCCAGGTCTGGAAGTTAAGAGATCCTTAAGCAAAAACAAAGCAAAACAAAAGAAAAACTCCAAAGCTAAAAGTTCAAAACATGCGTCTTCAGAAAGCGAAAATCTAAAAGAAAGTTTTGAGGCAGACATGATGGAACTTTCTGAACAATATCCCAAAAAGTTTAAAGAAAATGATGTGGTAAGAGTTAAACGTTTATCTTTGCGTTTAGATGAGCTGAGAAATAGATACAATCAACTTAAGCCTAGAAGAAAACTAAAGTGGCATTTTTATCGGAAACCAGTAGATGAAAGAACTTTACAATCAATATCTGTGCCCAAAGGTCTAAAAAGATTAATATTTAAGCCGAGAAATCTGCAAAGACAATCCGATGATTTAGAAACAGAACAAGAAGAGCAAGAACTAGACAAAGTTTCGGAAACATCTGCTATTAAGGAAGAAGTCGAGGCAATGTATGAACTTAAATCCCCAATTTCTTTATATAAAATTAAAGAAGATAAAATTGTGCCTATTGCACCGAGAATTAGAAAACTACCCTCGATGGAACAGGATAATACTACCCATACCTTAATAAAAACTGAGAAAGCTGTTAATAAAGAGAAACTAACGCGAAAAGCTGTTACTATAATGGAAAGTAAAGAGGAGCCGGAAGTGCCAAAAAAGGAAACAGAAGCAGCTGCAGATTTTGTAGGCGAGAAAGAACTGGAAACTCAAGTTTTATTCCCTGCTAAAGCTAAAGAAGACAAAACTAAACCCTCTCTAGACACTTCTCAAAGAAAGTCTACCAAAGCTAGAAAACCTTCTAACATATATGATGAACAGTTTTTTCAAAAACATGTTAAAGCTAAAAAGAAACCGAAAACCCAGAAGCGACAATCTGAAATTCCCAGAAAAACCTTTACACAAATCGAAAGTGATGAAGATCTAGAGGAACAAGAACAGGAACAAGAAATCCATGAAGAACAAAAACCTACCGCCGTAATTTCTTTATATAAACTGAAAGATAAACAAATTATACCTTATTTACCTCCTGCTAAGCCCTTTACACCAATACCACCACCGACACCACGCCCCAAACCCAAAAGAACCTCTTCCGTTTATGATGAGAAATTTTTCCAAAATTTGGTTAGAACTCAAAGAGCCACCATCACTGAGAAGCTGCTAGTTCAAAGGAAAAAACAACAAGAGTTAGAAAAGGAAAAGGCCGAAAGAGAAGAAGAGGAAGCTAGAGAGTATTATAGAAAATCTCGGGCTAATCTTTATCGCAGACGTAGTACTAGTCTATCGGAAAGTACTAAAATGGATAATCTAATAAAAACCGCTATGAAAAGTAATTATAATCTGGCCGAAGTAATACCCACAAATGTACCCATAGTTGATGAAAATGTATTAAAAAATATTCATAAAAGTCATAAGATCGGTATCAAAGATATATTATCCTCAACCGATTCCGACTGGTCTTCACTACTGAAAGTCTCACAGGTTAATTTGAAAGTGGAGTCACCTTTAAATGTAGCACTTTTGCCCACAACTTCAGCTAATATATTGGAATCAGCGGAGAAAGTAAAACCTGAAACTGCAACTTCAATTGAAGAAGTTGAAATGGTTGCTGCTCCAAAATCTGTACAAGAAGTACAATTCGATACTTTATCATTTGATGAATTGGTAAATGTGGAAGATTTAATTAAAACTACTCTGGCCAGACAAGCCGCAGAAGATAGGAAACTTTTGGCAAAGCCTAAAAGAAAAAATAAATCTAAAAAGATAAAGGAGATAGTAGAACAGAAACCATCTTCTGCAGAAACTGAAGAATTAAGGATTGTATGCAGTAGTTGTGGCATGACTAGTTTGCAACCTGGTGGTCCTTGTTGTCCTTTAATATTAAAAAAATAAATGTTTTTTGTTGTTTTAAACGTACTATTTGTTATTTTTTTAAATTACACGTTTTATACCCTTTTTAATAGAAAAGATTTAATAACATCTTTATATAGAATTTCCGAAAATTTTCGATAAATTCTCTATTTTAAGAGAATTTTCGATAAATTCTCTTTTTTTTTAGAGAATTTTCGATAAATTCTCTATTTTTAGAGAATTTTCGATAAATTCTCTATTTTTAGAGAATATTCGATAAATTTTCTATTTTTAGAGAATTTTCGATAAATTCTCTTTTTTTTAGAGAATTTTCGATAAATTCTCTTTTTTAGAGAATTTTCGATAAATTCTCTTTTTTTTTGAGAATTTTTGATAAATTCTCTTTTTTTTAAAGAATTTTTGATAAATGCTCTTTTTTTTTTAGAGAATTTTCGATAAATGCTCTTTTTTAAAGAATTTTCAATAAATGCTCTTTTTTTAGAGAATTTTCGATAAATTCTCTATTTTTAGAGAATTTTCGATAAATTCTCTATTTTTAGAGAATTTTCAATAAATTCTCTGTTTTTTTAGAGAATTTTCGATAAATTCTCTGTTTTTTTTTAGAGAATTTTGTTAAATTTTCTGTTTTTTTAGAGAATTTTCGATAAATTCTCTGTTTTTTTTAGAGAATTTTCGATAAATTCTCTGTTTTTTAGAGAATTTTCGATAAATTCTCTTTTTTTTTTTTTAGAGAATTTTCGATAAATTCTCTTTCTCTTTAGACAATTTTCCATAAATTCTCTTTCTATTTAGAGAATTTTCCATAAATTCTCTTTCTCTTTAGAGAATTTTCGATAAATTCTCTTTCTTTTTAGAGAATTTTCGATAAACTGTTTTTTTAGAGAATTTTCGATAAATTCTCTGTTTTTTTAGAGAATTTTCGATAAATTCTCTGTTTTTTTAGAGAATTTTCGATAAATTCTCTTTCTCTTTAGAGAATTTTCCATAAATTCTCTTTCTCTTTCTCTTTAGAGAATTGTCCATAAATTCTCTTTCTCTTTAGAGAATTTTCGATAAATTCTCTTTTTTTTAGAGAATTTTCGATAAATTTCGATAAATTCTTTTTGTCTTTAGAGAATTTTCCATAAATTCTCTTTCCCCTTAGAGAAGTTTCCATAAATTCTCTTTCTCTTTAGAGAATTTTCGATAAATTCTCTTTCTCTTTAGAGAATTTTCTATAAATTCTCTTTCTTTTTAGAGAATTTTCGATAAATTCTCTTTTTTTAGAGAATTTTCGATAAATTTTCTTTTTTTAGAGAATTTTCGATAAATTCTCTTTTTTAGAGAATTTTCTATAAATTCTACTTTTTTAGAGAATTTTCGATTCCCTTTGTTAAAGAAAATTTTAATAAATTCTCTTTTTTTTTAGAGAATTTTCGATAAATTCTCTATGTTTTTAGAGAATTTTCGATATATTCTCTTTTTTTGAGAATTTTTGATAAATTCTCTTTTTTAAGAATTTTCGATAAATACTCTTTTTTTTAAGAATTTTCGATAAATTCTCTTTTTAGAGAATTTTCGATAAATTCTTTTTTTAGAGAATTTTCGATAAATTCTTTTTTTTAGAGAATTTTCGATAATTTCTCTTTTTTTTAGATAATTCTCTTTTTTTAAGAGAATTTATCGAAAATTTTCGATAAGATTTTAAAAATTTTAGAAAATATAAATTAAAAAAAATCTAAAAAATTTAACTAATTATTTTAGAAAATTTTTTATAATTTTTGAAAATATCACTACTTACATCATTTATTTATCAAACTATTTTCCATAATTAATGACAAAAATATCAATTTTGAAAAAAGTCTTATTAATTTCACTTAAATTTTCCGTTATTTGGTTTGATGTCGGTTTTAATTTCATGTTTTCTTTTATTCTTAACAAGTATTTACCACCATAATCCTCTATTACAAACTAAAATTTCACAAACAAAAGAAAATGATTAATTTTCCCCAAAAAATATTTCAAACAAATAAACTCAATTAAATGAAAAATTAGGCTTTTATTTTTTCACCGCATGCTAAACATAAGAATAATCAAATCTCCAAAACAAAAACAACCAACTAAGAACGGAAGAATGTTGAAAATCTAGTTCTTTTAACATTGAACCCCTTTTCTTTAGCGTTTTTCTTCACACCAATTATGATTAGAGTGTATCTTTTTCATTCAGCCATTCAAAATTATTTCAATTTCATTCATTTTATTGAATTAGTAAAAGAATTTATTCGAAAATTATGTTAATTATTGTTAGGTGGTTGTGTGTGTGTTTTTTTTTCTTTTTATAAAAAGTGAGATGTGACTGACACCTTGTGTGGTTTTTAGAAAAAATTATTTAAAATTTTTAAATTCTTTTGTTTTTTTTTTGTTGTTGTAAAATGATTTGTTATTTTTAGTCTTCCATAAATTTTAAAAATGACAAAAGAAATGTATTTAAAACTCTACCAACGCGCAGTTACTTTCTGAAGTTGTTTTTTGGGAATCTTAATTTGAAGAATTTGGGTCCGTCTTTGTCTATTTTGTGGTAATTTGTTTTAAATATAAAACAAACGTTTTATTTTTATTGCTTTCAAATGCATTGTTTCCGTATTGGAAATTTGTTTTTTTTTTGGAATAATTTTAAAACCATTGGACTGGCAGCAAATGGGGTGTGAAGTGATTATGGGTTTTTTTTCTAATTCAATTAAAAAGTCGGAAGACGTTGTTGAGTTTTTGATATGAAAGTGACATTTTTGAAAATAAAAGTTGATATAAATAAATTCAAATTGATTTTTAAAAATATTTTATATGTATAAACAAAATTATTCGTAAATACTTTTTATAGCAAATTTTTGATAAATTATCTTTTTTATAGAAAATTTTCGATAAATTTTCTCTTTTTATAGAAAATGTTTGATAAATTTTTATGGAAAATTTTCGATAAATTTCTCCTTTTAGAGAAAATTTTTGATAATTTTTTTTACTTAAAGAAAATGTTCGATAAATTTTCTCTTTTTATAGAAAATTTCCATAAATTTTCTCTTTTTATAGAGAATTTTCGATAAATTTTCTCTTTTTATAGAGAATTTTCGATAAAATTTCTCTTTTTATAGAAAATTTTCGATAAAATTTCTCTTTTTAAAGAAAATTTTCGATAAAATTTCTCTTTTTACAGAAAATTTTCGATAAAATTTCTCTTTTTATAGAAAATTTTCGATAAAAATTCTCTTTTTATAGAAAATTTTCGATAAAAATTCTCTTTTATAGAAAATTTTCGATAAAATTTCTCTTTTTATAGAAAATTTTCGATAAAATTTCTCTTTTTATAGAAAATTTTTGATAAAATTTCTCTTTTTATAGAAAATTTTTGATAAAATTTCTCTTTTTATAGAAAATTTTCTAAAATTTCTCTTTTTATAGAAAATTTTCGATAAAATTTCACTTTTTATAGAAAATTTTCGATAAAATTTCACTTTTTATAGAAAATTTTCGATAAAATTTCACTTTTTATAGAAAATTTTCGATAAAATTTCTCTTTTAATAGAAAATTTTCGATAAAATTTCTCTTTTAATAGAAAATTTTCGATAAAATTTCTCTTTTAATAGAAAATTTTCGATAAAAATGTATCTTTTTATAGAAAATTTTCGATAAAAATGTATCTTTTTATAGAAAATTTTCGATAAAAATTTATCTTTTTATAGAAAATTTTCGATAAAAATTTATCTTTTTATAGAAAATTTTCGATAAAAATTTATCTTTTTATAGAAAATTTTCGATAAAAATTTATCTTTTTATAGAAAATTTTCGATAAAATTGATCTTTTTATAGAAAATTATGGGTAAATTTTATCTTAGAAAATTTTGGATAAAATTTATCTTTTCATAGAAAATTTTGGATAAAATTTATCTTTTAATAGAAAATTTTGGATAAAATTTATCTTTTAATAGAAAATTTGCGATCAAATTTCTCTTTTTATATAAAATTTTCGATAAACTTTCACTTTTTATAAAAAATTTTTGATAAACTTTCACTTTTTATAAAAAATTTTCGATAAACTTTCACTTTTTATAAAAAATTTACGACAATTTTTTTTCTTTTTATAGAAAATTTACGATTAATTTTCTCTTTTTATAGAAAATTTTTGATAAAATTTCTCTTTTTAAAGAAAATTTTCGATAAAATTTATCTTTTTAAAGAAAATTTTCGATAAAATTTCTCTTTTTACAGAAAATCTTCGATAAAATTTCTCTTTTTACAGAAAATTTTCGATTAATTTTCTCTTTTTATAGAAAATGTTCGATAAATTTCTCTTTTTATAATGAAGATTTCTCATAAATTTTCTCTTTTTATAAAAAATTTTCAATAAAAATTCTTTTTTTTTATAGAAAATTTACGATAAATTTTCTTTTTTATAGAAAAGTCTCGATAAATTTTCTCTTTTTATAGAAATATTTTAATAAATTTCTCTTTTTATAGAAAATTTTCGATGAATTTTCTCTTTTTTAAGAAAATTTTCGATACATTTTTTTTTTTATAGAAAATTTACGATAAATTTTCTCTTTTTATAGAAATATTTCGATAAATTTTCTCTTTTTATAGAAATATTTTAATAAATTTCTCTTTTTATAGAAAATTTTCGATAAATTTTCTCTTTTTGTAAAAAATTTACGATAAATTTTCTTTTTTATAGAAAAGTTTCGATACATTTTCTGTTTTTAAAGAAGATTTCCGATTAATTTTCTATTTTTATAAAAAATATTCGATAAAAATTCTTTTTTTATAGAAAATTTACGATAAATTTTGTCTTTTTATAGAAAATTTACAATAAATTTTCCACTTTTTTAGAAAATATTTGATAAGTTTTCTCTTTTTATGCAAAATTTTCAATAAATTTTCTCTTTTCACAGAAAATTTTCGATTAATTTTCTCTTTTTATAGAAAATGTTCGATAAATTTCTCTTTTTACAGAAAATTTTCAATAAATTTCCTTTTTTATAAAAAAATTTGT